CCCGCCCCCCGGCTGACCTGGATGCGGTCGGGGACGCCGGTGCTGTCCATGCGGCTGGAGACGTTGACGGTGTTGCCCCAGATGTCGTACTGGGGCTTGCGGGCCCCGATCACCCCCGCCACCACCGGCCCCATGTTCAGGCCTGGGGAAGGGGGGGGACACGCACGGGGACAGAGCGTCACCACCCCCCCACGGCCACCGGGGCGAGGGCACGGGGGGCGCGCGAGGGGCAAAGGGGGGGGTGGGCGAAGGGTTTGGGTGGGCAAAGGGGCGTGCAAGGGCACAGGGTGTGTAAAGGGGTGTGCGAAAGTGAAGGGGTGTGCAAAGGGGCACGCAAGGGCACAGGGTGTGTAAGGGGGCATGCGAAGGCGAAGGGGCATGTAAAGGGGCGTGCAAGGGTGAAGGCGCGTGCAAGATCAGCTTGCGCAAAGGGGTGTGCGAAGGCCGCCTGTGCAAAATGGAAGGCGCATGCAAAGGGTTTGCAAGTGCAAAGGCGTGTGAGGGCTGTGTGCGCAAAGGGGAAAGGGTGTGCAAGGGTTTGGGTGTGCAGAGGGGCGTGCAAGGGCTTGTACACAAAGTGGCCTGCAAAGGCCATGTGTGCAAAAAGGAAGGGGCGTGCAAAGGGTTTGCATGTGCGAAGGCGTGCACGATGGCCAAGAAGCGTGTAAAGGGGTGTATGAGGGCCTACGTGTGCAAGGGCTAAAGGGGTGTGCAACATCAGTATGTGCAAATGCGTGTGAGGGCTGTGTGTGCAAAAGGGAAAGGGTGTGCAAGGGTTTGGGTGTGCAGAGGGGCGTGCAAGGGCTTGTACACAAAGGTCTGCAAAGGGCATGCATGCAAAAGGGCAGGGGCGTGCAAGGCTTTGCCTGTGTAGAGGAGTGCACAGAGGCTGGGTGTGCAAGGGCGAAGGGGCGTGCAAAGGCCACGCGTGCAAGGTTACACCCCAGGGCCGCGTGCGCGAAAGGGACGAGGCGTGCGAGAGCCGGCAGAGGCGAAGCCGCCTGCAAGGGCCAGGTACGTGCGGAGCGGCTGCAGGTGCAGAGGGGCGTGCGAGGGGCGTGCGAGGGGCGTGCGAGGGGCGTGCGAGGGGCGTGC